GTCCCACACTAAACCTGATCCACGGCCCCTGTAAGAATGTTGCATACCATGTAGAAAAGGATCAGAATTCAGAAATACAAAAACAACAGCGTCTTAGCTACCATTAGCTCCAAGCACAACAGAGATGCATATCTTACTCGGAATTGGAGATGCAAACAACAGAGGAAGCATTCTCTTCGAGAGTGCGAACCTCAAGGGGTTCATCGAAACGCTTACCCATCAAAATCTCGCCACCCTTCACCACCAAAGACTGCACCCTGTCCTGCAACTCGCCCGGGTTCCACTTTAAGTTACGGAACTTCAAGAAACAAAGCAAATAGCACCATGCCAACAAATGCATAACGTTCTGCGAAAAGGATTCAAATTCGGACTGGCTCAAGAACTCTGTCTTAGTCTTCACCATGGTGTGGATCAAGTACCAAACCATGCGCTGCATCAAAGACTTAAACACAAGCAGCAAATTGGTAATCAAGAACTGCATCGTATAGTACTGATGGCGTTCGTGATCCTCCAGTTTTATTCCGTTCTCATTCACCCTAGAACTTAGTTGATCCTCAACCTCAAAAGACTCGGAAATTTTACCGTTCAATTTCTTCACAAACTTTGACATGCATTTTTGGTGGCGCTGGTAAATGTGAGCATCTTGAGAGACGCATACCATGCAACCACACACCTCGTCTAGAAAACTATTAAGAAACTTTGATAACTCTGGAATTACCAACTTCACGGAATCCTGAAACTTTGATAACACTGTATCCTTTATTTGGCGCTGGTAGCAATTCCCCAGTTCAGAACATTTGTGATTCAACAAATTAGTCGCTGCAACTTTATCTAAAAAATAAAAAATAAAATCAGTCACTGCATCGCACAACCTGAACACAGTTTTTTCCGATCGTTCTACCCGTGGGATAACTTTTTTTGAGTATCCGAGAAACCATAGGCGAAGAAAAGGAACATCCTTTGGTATAGCGATCCCCACTTTAATCGCCAAGCGAAAAATCTGGTCAATGGAGAAGACGCACGGTGCCGTGGTGCCGAAGGCGTAGCGTAAAACACCTGAACAGGATGATATCGGTGAGCTAGAGATAATGGGACGTAACCCGTGGAGAAGCGAAGAAATGTCTGGCGAGGTCGCACGAGTCATAGCCAAGGCGAGAATTTTGGATGCGGTCTGCTGCCTCTTTTCCTGCTAGTGTGAGGCCAGAAGAAAGAGGAATTTGTGCTTAGGGTTACTGTGTTCGGGAATTTAAAACCCAAAACTCAAAATCTCAACTTGTAACGAAATTATATAATAGAATAAGAAAAACAAGTGGAAAGAATTACCTATTCACAGGAGGAATCAGAAAAAGGGGAAAAGGATGGAGCAATCGGCAGATGGAGAAGATGGGTAGAGAGGAGCAATCGGCAGATGGAGAAGATGGGTAGAGAGGAGCAATCGAAAGGCAGAGTAGAGATTAGAGAGGAGCAATCGGAAGGCAAAGGCAAACCCAAAATGAGGGTTAACAGTTTATCGTGTGATTTAATCGTAATTCTGTTAAAATATGAGGGTAAAATAAGTATAATGGGTAAATTTCATTAAAAAAGAGGTTAGAGCACGCGCAAAAGCTAGTATTTCTTTTTTTGGGTTAAAATATCATTTTAGTCCCTCAATTTTTTATTTTGATATTAAAATTATCATTAAATTTCAAAAAGTACCAAAATATCATTAAACTTTCATTTTTAGTGCCAATTTCATCCTTCCATTGGCAGAAGTGACAGGTGAAATGTTAGATTGTCACACAATCAGTTTACAAAATGTGGAAACTGGCTTTAGATTTTCATCAACTGAAGGTAATTACGAAACTAAAAGTGTTTGGTGTAACTGGGATTTTGGAGTTCAAAAGCACTTTTCAGCAGCTGAATGTAATTTTGGCTAGAATCCTGTTCTGTGTAATTTTAATTTTTGGCCTGATGTTTTGAAATTATTTATTTCGCGCGGGAGTTTTGAGATAAGTTTATTTTTGTCCTTGACTTTTCATTCGTTTTAGCCGTGGTTGTATTATTGTGTCGTTTTGCCACGTTCAACTTTTTGTTCTTTTAATATCGAAGTTTCATACCACACAATTTTATTTATTTTTTGGTCTTGTATTATGGAGATAATTTTTCTTGTATATATGGAGATTAATGCTATGCTCGTTTTTGAACAAGAAATTTGAAGAGGAATAAAAAAAGTAGGCTAAAAATGGCTTTTTCAATAAATGGATACCATTTTTTAAAAATCAATTAATCAAGTAAATGATCTCATAGCACTATAAAAAAGATTTACATTAATTGAAAACAGAATTTGTGTTATATTTCATGATTTTTTTTCTCTTGCTTTCAATCCAATGAAAAATTTATTCATCCTTTTATTTATTTATTTATTTGAGAGAGTTATATAGAATTAGAGGTTCTCTAATTTTATTAATCTTTATTTGTCCAAATATATATGGATTTAGAATATCTACTTAAATATCTAACTTTATTTTGTTTCTTGATTAGTATGGTACAACCGTACAAGTACCTCTTCCTAACTTTGATTTATGAGATTTATCCTTCCATAAAATCAATTGAGATTTTTGAAAAATCCTTTGGATTTTCTCAAAAAAAACCTTTAAAAAATCCCTTGTAGGTAAGGTTATCGAAATAGATTTCTTAGTCCTAACAATGACTTAATTAGTTAATTTGATCAGATTCATGTCATTATTCTGTTTTTTTATAGATTCCTTTGGCAATATTATAATTGTAATGTAATATAAAATTGTAAAGTAAACTTTTAAATAAATATATTATGATATTAAATAAATAGCACCTGTCCTTTCAGTCAACTGACAGCCTGCCAGCTTGAAGTGCATTCCCTCTTCTCTATAAGTAGGTTTCGAGCCCATCCCTTGACAAATTGTTCAAAAAATAAATAAATAAATACATATAATATTATGAATAAATTTTTAAACAAAAAACTAATTATATAATAATATATCATATTATAAATTTATAATTATAACATTTTTATAAATTTTTATAACATGATTATCTAGAGTTTTTTTTTTAATTATGTTTATGGTTATCTAGAGTTAAACAATAAAGCTTTTTTATTATTATTTAAGAATCTTAGACAATTTTATTAGTTGAAAAATCTACGTATTTTTTTTCGTGGTTATTTTTTAATTTATGGGATCATGAAAAATCTAAATATTATGACAATTATAATATCATGAATAATAATAAAAAATTTAAATATTTTTAATAAATTAATTCATAAAAAAATTCATTAAACATAATTAAATCATTTTAGAAAATTAATGTTCTTAATAAATTAGTATATAAAAAATTTATAAACATTTGAATAATTTTACATATATTTCTAGCATCTAAGATGCAAGCATATCATGAATTCACATTTCTTTTAATTTTATGTATAAAAAAATTATGCTTCCCCCTATGTTATTTGACATGATTTAATTTCAAATAATTAAAGTATAATGTAACTTTTAAATACTGAGAGATTAATAATAATAATAATAATAATAAAACAAAACAAGTTAAAATTATTTAGTTATTTCATTACGTTGAACATCTTAATAAGCGGGTCTTGTAAGTTTCCTTTTTTCACGCCTATAGACTCATTCAGTCATCAAAGTAACAGTGGCTTAATTAATTAAGAGAAACTACAATCAATTAACTAGAAGGGGAAACTTGAAATAATAAAATGGATTAGGGCTGAAAATGAAAGGTTATTAACAATCGAAGCCTTGTTCCTATCTAACCATATAGCTCATGTGTGTCTAGTACCATCCCCCATAGACTTTTAATCTGCCTATCTATATCTCAACCCATTCATTTGTTAATTATCTCCCTCATAGAGAAAATCTACTTGAGTAGTGTAAATTCTTAACCTCTTTGCATCTTTGTTCCAAATAACTTTAACTTCTCTTTCTCTGTTCAAAAGGACTCCGTCGATGAGAATCTGCAAGATAACAAACCTTACCTTCCTCATTTTTATTGCCTTACTCTTCAGGTTTTCAATCTTTGGAACCTGCGCTAGGGATGGGAAGCATTGGAGACAAGGCAGAGCAGCTTCCCTCTCTGTGTTTGAGGTGAAGGAAAACGGCCATGGTGGTAGGAGCAGCCATCCACGCCGCCAAATGGCAACAAAACAAGTGCTGAACTCTGCCACCTTTAATGTTATAGATTTTTGGAGCCACAGGGGAAGGGCATACAGATGACACAAAGGTGATTTCATGAAGCACAAATAATATTTTGCTTATAGGAAAAGCCTAGTATTTTTCAACATTAATCTTAATGCAATGGAGCCATTTTCTATTTACTCCTGCAAACATAACTTAAACTTATATAACAAACTAGCTTAGACTGAAATAGTCCCATATTGCGAATCAGGCATTCGAAGCAGCTTGCAAAGGAGAGTCATCAACAGTGATGGTTCCATCTGGCTGTGTATTACTTGTTGGAGCCATATCCTTCTCGGGCCCCACATGCCAAGCAAACATCATATTTCAGGTAAATTTGCCAATTTCACATATTTTTACTTCTTCATTTTTGCAGTTGAGGGAAAATGGGAGTTTTGGAAATACTTTACCTCATTGGCTCGGACTAATGTTTGTCAACTGTCATGCAGATAGATGGCAAGATCATGGCTGCCACAAGTTCTGGTGCTTGGAAATCGGATCTCTTGCAATGGATTAAATTTACACAACTAAAAGGCATTACCATCAGCGGCAAAGGAACTATTGATGGTCAGGGCTCATTCTGGTGGAATACCTCACCCACATATGATCCAACAGCCAGGGATTCAACTAGCATCTCTGATAATTCAGTAATTGCTCAGGCTTCAAATAATTTACAAATTTAACCATTGTGCTTCCCCTTCCACCAAGACTAATCCTTTCCACTCTGATCCTTTCCAGGAGATAAGCACTGGGCCTAGGTCAAAGAATTCAGGCACCAAACCAACGGTAATTTCCATATCTGAAAACCAATTTGGCAATCTTATAATGATATGTTGAATGAAGAATATAATATATGAGCTTTTATATTCTCTGGTGTGCAGGCACTCAGGTTCTATGGAAGCACTGATGTAACAGTTACTGGCATAACCATACAGAACAGCCCCCAGACCCACCTCAAGTTTGATGATTGCACAAATGTTCAGGTTTCCAACTTCGCTGCTTCATCTCCTAGTGACGGTCCCAACACTGATGGTATTCACCTACAGAATTCCCGTGGTGTGGTCATTTACAGCACCACTCTTGCCTGTGGTAATTGCAGATTTAGAGTAGTGTAACTACAATTTCATTCAGAACATTACAGATTCAGAAATCCAGTACAGAACTAAATTCAACTATGAGCTTTATTGTTTTATTATACAGGAGATGATTGCGTATCTGTACAAACCGGATGCTCCAACATATACATACACAATGTGAACTGTGGACCTGGACATGGAATTAGTATTGGAGGACTTGGAAAGGACAACACCAAAGCCTGTGTTTCAAATATCACTGTTCGAGATGTCAAGATACAGAATACATTAACTGGTGTCAGGATAAAGACATGGCAGGTAGGTATGACATTCTGTTTAGAACCTGACTTTACCCCTTGCTAGCTAGATTTTAACCATCAGAATGTCCCCACGCTTTTTCTTACAGGGAGGCTCTGGCTCGGTACAACAAGTCATGTTCGCAAACATTCAAGTCTCTGAAGTTGAAACCCCAATCATGATTGATCAATACTACTGCGACAAGAGCAAATGTAACAATCAAACTTCGGCTGTGGCTGTATCAGACATAAACTACATAAATATACAAGGGACCTACACAGTGCAATCTGTGTACCTTGCATGCAGCAACAGTCTGCCATGCACTAGTGTATCATTAAGCAACATTCAGCTAAAATCAGTTCAAGAAAACCACCATCTGGAAGAACCTTTCTGCTGGGAAGCATATGGACAGCTGAAAACTGCAACAGTCCCTCCAATTAGCTGTTTGCAAACCGGAAAGCCTTCAAAAGCTGGAACTCTGTCTGATATTGATTCTTGCTGAAATAATAGCAAGGTATTAAGTAGGTGTACTCGTATGATACAGGGGGTTGTCTGCACCCATTGACATAAATCATAGTGGCATACCAAGTGGTGCTGGTCCACACAGGTTTTATTGCCTTGGGGATTTATGGGTTTTATCACATGTTTGTTTCAATTTACAAAGGTTTTATCACATGTTAGTAAATTGCGTAATTAGTTTAGATTTACGAACACCCATCAATAGGTGCTACAATACCAGTACTGAATAAAGACAATTCGAGCAGATGGTGGATGATTGCATGTGTTGTGTTTCATGAAATCAAATGTAAGCTGAATGAAAAGAATTCTTGATCAAATTTCTCCAGGATTACCTGAGTGTACTGAAACTTAGAAGTGCAGTAAACACCAAATGAAATCACAAACTGCAAACAGACCACTGCATAATAAATTTGACCAGAAAGAAGAATAATATAACATCCGCAATGCAGAGGGGAAGGGGGGTGGGGGAAGGTTGAGAGAGAGCAATCAAGTCTGGGTGAAATGTTGTTATTCCATATTCCCCCTTAATTCATGATAAAAGATAAAAGAAAATTCACAACGATACTCAAAAATACATGTCAATGATCATCTGGTAACCGTAAAGAATTGTATAAAGACGTTAAAAATCTTAAGGAGAAGCTTATGAAATTTTCACTTTCTGTAAAAGTATTTTCACTTTCTGTAAAAGTAATATAAGGTACCAACAGTAATAAAGATGAATAAATATGTGAACAAATGGGCAGA